GAGGGGCCCTGATGATTCCTGCCTTCCTGTCCTTGCCTGCCCATCCTAAATCAGGGCCCTCCCAAGTGTCTACCTGTGCCGCTGTAGTTCAATTTCCCCTCTCTTTTGAGATGATTTCCTTTATTGGGCAGTGTAATAGAGAACAGCTAGAAAATTGTGTACGTGGTTATTTTACGTGAACAACAGAATTCATATTTGACCATGATCTTGTGGTATCCTAAACCCCTTCTCAATTATTTCACTGGAATCTCTGTGCTCCTCAACTTGCAGAGGTTGCTCTGGGCCTGTAAATTGGGGGAGGGGGTTGTTTTAAATGCATGTAGTGTTGCACTAAAGAGAAACTGCATATCCCCTATGGTGTGTAAAGTATCAAAGCATTTCCTCCACTTTTTAAAAAGTGAATTTTTCCAGTGTTTCGCCAAAAGATTTGATTTTTCTCCATCTGTGTCTCTGGAAAACATTGCAATTGTCATTGTCAATATCTTTTCTGTGTGTTTTCTGAAATGAGTGATCTCTGCATATATAATGTACTATGCTGTATTTTTGCAGAGGACCATACAATAAGATAGACAGTGAGCACATTACATTTGAAAATAACAAGAAGTTGGGAATATTGGATCCAGACAAAAATTATGGTGAGGTATTCTAATTTTTTTACTGAATATAATAATAAATAAGAATACTTGTAATCACTGTAAGGAGAATTTTTGCTTCCATCTTATTAATGCTCTCATATTGAAAAGCATCTCTGACTACTTTATGAAGTACAGTAATGTGATGCAAATAGAAACTACTTGTGCATAAACAGGGCTCAACAAATAATACAGTCTACTCACCTGTGGCGAGTAGATTGCAACCCGGAAGAGCTGGGTTCAGGTGATCTGCGCATGCGCAGATTGCCGGACAGCGCAGCTGGCGAGCGGGGCTCGCCGCGGTTTGGTGAGCCCTGTGCATAAACACTCAAATGCAGGAACATAAGAACGGCCATACTGGGTCAGACCAAAGGTCCATCTAGCCCAGTATCCTTTCTGCCAACAGTGGCCAGTACCAGGTATCCCAGAGGGAATGAACAGAATAGGTAATTAAGTGAATTCCACCGCCATCCATTCCCAGCTCCTGAAAGAGTTTAGGGATGCTGTTCCTATCCATTCTGGTCTTCACGTCATCCTCTGGCAAGGAATTCACAAGTTGACCATGTGTGTTCTGTGAAGAAATACTACTTTTTTTGTCTGGTTTTTAAACCTGCTACCTATTAATTTCAATTTGATAACCCCCTAGTTCTTGTATTATGGGAACAAGTAAATAACTTTTCCTTACTCGGTCTCCACACCAGTCACAATTTTATAAACCTCTATTATGTCTCCACTTTTCTAAGATGAAAAGTCACAGTCCTTTTAATCTCTCCTCATTTGGCAGCTGTTCCAAACTCCTAATCCTTTTTGTTGCCCTTTTCTGAGCTTTTTTCCCAGGGCTAAGATACCTTTTTCGGGATGAGATGACCACATTTATACACAGTATTCGAGATGTAGGTGTGCTATAGATTTATGGAGAGACAATAAGATATTCTCTGTCTTATTCTCTATCCCTTTATTAATGATTCCTAACATTGTTTGCTTTTTTGACTGATGTTCACGCTGAGTGGATATTTTCAGAAAATTATCCACAAGGACTCCAAGATCTGAGTGGTAACAGCCAATTTTGTACATATAGTTGGGATTGCCAATATGCATTATTTTGCATTTATTAACATTAAAATTAATTTGCTATTATGTTGCCCAGTTTTGTGATATCCTTTTGAAGCTCTTTATAAGTCTGCTTTGATCTTAACTATCTTGAGTAGTTTAGTATCATCTGCAAATGTTGCCACCTCACGGTTTACCCTTTTCTCCAGATAATTTATGAATATGTGGAATAGGATTAGTCCCAGTACAGACCTCTGTAGGGCACCACTAGTTACCTCTCTCCATTTTGAAAACTGACCATTTATTCCTATCCTTGGCTTCCAGCTACCAATCCATGAGAAGACCTTTCCTCTTATGACAACTTATTTTAATTAAGAGCTTTTGGTGAGGAAGATTGTCAGAGGTTTTCTGCAAATCTAAGTACACTATACCTTTGTACTTAGATATGTACTTATATATGGTTCTCCTTTGTCCACATATTTGTTGATGTCTTTAAAGAATTGTAGTAGATGAATGAGTCATGATTTCCCTTTACAGAAACCATGTTGACTTTTCTCCAAGAAGTTGGGTCATCTGTGACAATTCTATTTACTGTAGTTTCAACTAATTTGCTTGGTAAGGTTGTTAGACTTACAAGTCTGTAATTTGCATAATTGAACTGCAGTGTGATTCAGGATGAAGTTTTTGCTGCACATTGCTTAATAGCACTCCGCAGCCAATTACATTGCTCTGAACTAAATTTTGTTTCTTCCGGAGAGATGGTGTGTTCTTTGCCAAACCACAGAGTGGGACAGTTAAAGCAGACAGCTGCAGTGGTAGAATGATGTCTCAAAGAAGAATATTGGTCTAAATTATATTGCTAGTATTTGTCAAATGATGTTGCAAAAGCAAAATGTTCCAGGAAAAAAAATTTACCTCCCCGTCCTCAGTTCAGCTATTTCTGGTTGTATTGGTTTGATGAATAGTTGTATTTCAAAGTTAATAGCATAAAATTAAATTACATGAACCTCATTTGAAATATACATTAGTGAGAGCCCCTAATTGTGGTAAACTAAATTCCTTAAGTCATATCAGTTGGATTATTTTTAAGTGTGGAAGTTGCTATTGCCAGGATGTTTAGAAGTAAACCTGAATTTGATTTTTGTTTTTGTTTTGAGGTGTTAATGCAAAGATTTAATTATACAGTATACATATAGTAAAACTTTAGTTTTTAAACTGTTGCAAACAGAAGAAGATCCATCCTGCAGGTGTGTAATGTAAACAAATGTGGCCATAGAGATTTTGGTGAACTTGATTAAATTGCCAATTATGTATCTGTATCAGATTGCTGAAGTACCTTGAATTTTTCTGAAAGTTGGATTTTCTTACATGGATGTGAACACAGAAGATCTCTAGTACATCAGGCTGCTGCTGGGCAGCACAGCTGCCATGGGAGAGTAGGAGACAGCAGGACAGCCCTCCGGGGCTGGTAGCAGGACAGCCCTCCGGGGCTGGTAGCCTGACCACTGGGGTGCCTGGCAGTTGTGCAAGGAACCAGGGAGTCGGGCTGCCCAGTGGTGCTGCGAAGAGCATGGCAACCCGGAAGCCACCTGACGGAGCTGCTTGGTGAAGCTGGGAGGCAGCAGTGCTGTCCAGTGAGGCTGAAACTGACATGGGGCTGCTACCCAGTGGCACAACTAAACCTCAGCAGGGAATTGCTCCATGGGGCCTAGGATCCCAGCAGCGGGGCTGGGCATGTGAAGGCAGTTCTGCCAAATTGGGGTTGGGAGGCAGCGGAGCTGTGCTTGCACTGGCAGGGCTGCCACGGTGGGGCCAGAAGCTGGTGGGAGGCTGGCAGCGATGCCGTGGTGGCGAGGGGGGGGGGGCCTGAAATGACCTTCCCTGGTCTGGTAAAATCCCTTATCTGGGACTGGTTAGGTCCAGAGGGTGCCGGACAAGGGAGATTCAGCCTGTATGTTAATGTTAATTTTTTAATGTGTCACATTTATTCTTCAAGAAAATGGGTTTTAATTACAAAACTGCATTATGACGTGTTTGTGGAAATATATTTGTAGGGAAGCAAAATCCTATGGATAGTTGTTTCCCCATGCACCCATTATTTCATGAACCCATTATCTTTGTAATGTAATATATTTACACACATTACATTCTGCAAATATATAATCTTAAAATAGGTGCACTCCTTCAGATACATGTCTGAGTTTTTAATAATCCACATTTTTATCCCCACTTACAATTAAACTGATAAACTACTGGTTTTAATACATACATAAAATGGATCGGGAAAAACCCTTTATTACAAAGGAAGTCATTTGATATTTGGAAAATTAATTTGATAATATGATTTTAAAGTGAACTTTGGAATGGTTCAGATGTTATTCACATCCCCAAAATATTAACCAGGCCATTTGATTATAAGCACCTGGAAAAACAGATTTGTTCATGTAATTTTAATGGTCAGTATAGAAATGCTAAATTACATCTTTTTAGGTGAAGAAATAGATCAGGTATACAAAAAGCAGAGACGTAGGAGCAGACAAGTATTGCCAGATATAATCTTGAATAGTCCTTACCAGTTGGCAGACCACATGCTATACTTTGTGTTTAATGGAATGATATTCAGACACCCTCCTCACTCCAGTATCTTAAGTGGTCCCTAAACAGGCTTAGCCATCTGGTCTATCCATGATACCAATAGCGTCAATGAGTAGTATTGCTAAAGTATTTTCATTTTAATATTGGAAAAATTATCAGTACTAATTAAGCCAAAATATTGTTAGTCTTTTGCAAAGGTGTAGTAAGGGATGAATGTACTATTTCTGAGGAACCATTTCTAGAGGTACAAAACAAAGGGTTATCAGGATTCATGATTTAGACAGGCTGTTGGATATTCATATTAGTTCCAAAATATTTTTTTCTTTTAAAGATTGCAGTGGCACAGGATTCCTTCTGGCAACCACAGGAGAAAAAGAAAATCAACCTAAGATGGAGGAAATTAATACAGCAGATGTCAGAGAAAAAAATAAGCTTGAAGCTAACAGACTATCAAACTGCCAAGAGTATAAAAATGATATCTCTACAAATCAGGATAATTCACAAATAAATCTAGGAAAACAAGATCAGAAGCTGAATCAAACTAACATGGAGACAGTAAAAACTCAGGATGTCGCAATTCAGACAGCTGCGTTGGATAGTTTTGGCAGGACTGCGCTAAATGAACAGGCTGTCCTTCAGGATTGTGAGTCCTCCACATTCAAAGAAGTAGCCCATGTGCAGAATTTGGATGCGGACCATCCACCTTTGCAGTTGATGAATAAAGTGCAAGAGTCTGTAACAGTTTCAACAGAATTCAGCCATAAGAAACAGGAAGTTGCAGATGATAAAACAATCCCCATAAAACATCAAAGTAATATATTAGAGAATGATTGTGGTCTTGCCTCATCAGAGAGTGCTCCAAAAAGTCCAGTTACTTCTTCTAATAAAGGCTACCCACTTTATAGACAGGACTCTAAACCTAAACCCTCTAATGAAATTACAAGAGAATATATCCCCAAAATTGGAATGACTACTTATAAAATAGTGCCTCCAAAATCCTTGGAAATAGTGTCTGACTCTCAACCTTGTAATATGTCAGACATAAAGGATCAGAATGGAGCCACTTCGGAAATGTCCCCAGAGTCTGAGCGTTCAAAAGAATTTGGAGTACAAACTGAAATTCTTTGGGTTTCGAAAAGTACACGTCAGTCAGAGTCTGGTTTAACTGCCAAAACTGATTCGTATTTTAATAATCAGCTGCACAAAAGTAGCAGAATTGACAGTGCCTCAGTTTCTGAATGTGGGCTTACTACTGAAAGCAAACAAATAGAAACAGAAGCTTCCAAACTCAATATAGGCAATGCCATAACTCCATTGAAGCTAAATTCAGGTAGCACTAATTCTTCACATGTGGCTCAAGAAAAATCAAGTGTTTTGAGTCCTACAATGAAACCTAGTTCTTTTTACTTACAAATGCAAAGAAGGGCTTCAGGTCATTATGTAACATCTGCAATTGCCAAAAGTGTCAGTGCTGCTACTAGTCCTACTCAAAGTGAGGCTATAAATGCAGAGAGAGAGAAAAACTTAACATCACCAGATCAGTCTTTTTTTCCTTTACAAAAAACAATTAACTTTCCTGCTCAATTAGACGAAGAAAAGATTGATGAGAGAAAAATTGACACCACCTCCTCTTCTGTTAATACTGCTAAACCTTTGAGTTTTCCCTCCTCTCAGCCAGCAACACTGAATTTAAGAACTCTTAGAACTTTTGCAGTTCCAAAACCGTATTCCAGTTTTAGGCCATCTCCCTTTGCTCTTGCTGTCTCATCGGCAGTCAAAAGATCTCAGTCATTCAATAAACCACGTACCATTGGTAGCCAGCCATCAAGAGAGGAATCTCCTGTTGCGCTATCCTCAGCAACTTCCATAGCAGATGTAAAGAAGCAATTTTTACAGACTTTAACAGGAGGTTCTCAATACAGTCCAATGGATAAGGTAAGTTTTACAAAATTTAGAACGTCTGAACATTAATCACTACATTTCACTGACAAGTGAGATTCACTCTGTCCCTTCTTTGAATAGTAATAGAGATGTAGCCATGTTAGTCTTGTCTAGCTGAAACAAAAAACAGGACTATGTAGCACTTTCAAGACTAACAAGATGGTTTATTAGGTGGTGATTATTATTATCCAAGTGCAAAAAGATGGACATCATACCCAAAGGACTAAAAGTGAACAATCCATTCAGATCAACATACTGTACTGTCTACAATGAAAGACTCTGCTTCACACTATCCAAAATCACCTAATAAACCATCTTGTTTGTCTTGAAAGTGCTACATAGTCCTGTTCTTTTGTCCCTTCTTTGAAGGTTTCATAAATATGTGAACATCTAGTGGTACGTTATGTTGTCATATCACCATGTACAACATTTTGCTAGGATATAGGAAAAATAAGTAATGTCGTGGTCAGCATGAAACTTATGCAAAATTGAATGCTGAGAAATAGTTGTCTTGCTGTAATTAACTGTCTCAGACCTACAAGGAAAGAAAATTAATTGGATCTGGTTTATCTGTACATACCTATTTTCATATTCACAATTGCTGATTTTGTTGTTAAGTGTATTCTGTGTAAAACTAGTTTTTACTTAATTTTTGAGTGATGCCCCAGTATAATGTTTGAGGGACATTGAAACAGAATATGTGTAAGGAACTAGTTATCTTTTGGTATGACCATCATGAGTCAGTAGTATTGTATAACCTGACTGGTATCTAGGGAAAAGTAGAGTTGGTGAAGCTCTCCAGAAGTTTGTCCTATATAATTTCTAGTCACTTTCAGATGCTACAATAAGATGGCAATATTAGTAGATTATGCAGATATTCAAAGTAGAATCTTGCATGCTTCTGGACCCAGCTTTCCCAGATGCCCTGTTTGTGATCTTCGACTTGGGTATTTTTGACTGGGCAGGGAGGAAGAAATGGTCCTATCCCAAATCTATCCACTTATGGCCTCAAAAGGAGATGTCACTCAGAGTACATTGTGCACCTTTTCATAGCATGTCTTTTTAAACATGTTTTAATGAACAATGAAATATGTATTAACATTATTACTTAAATCATACATTGACACGTATCATCACTGGCCTATGACTAACTCTGAGATGAATGGGGGAGTGCAGAAGATGAGGTATAGTTTCGTATTTTCTTCTAATTCAGGTGGACATTGCTGCAACAGTTGTATTCAGTTCACATTTTAGAAGAGATTGTTTTTTTCTGAAATAGCAGCCTTTATTTCAGCCTTTCTGCAAATGTAGCTGAGATTTTGGAGAGTAAGCAAGCAGCTTGAGAGGAGCATCCATGCTATGCCTGGCCTAACTCCAGCTTTGCTAGTCTCGGTATATTTTGTACGATTAAGTTTCAAATCTACCTGTGTGACTATTCCTGGAAATCCTGTACTTTTCATCCTGTGGTAAAGCAGTAACAGTAGGATTACAAATGCCTCAGGAAATAGACTAAGAAACTTGCAGGCATAAAAGTAAACTTGATCTTAACTAAACTACTAAGATTATGTGGATAATTTTATAGACCTTTTGAGGAGAAAATTCCCCATGTTACCAGTATAAAAGTTCCTTAAATCCCATCTGGCTTGTAACTTTTTAAAATTTCCAGATGCTATTGTATGGCCTCCTCACCTTGGTGATATCACCTCATATAGAAATTACTACCAAAGTGAAAGCACAAAATTAAATTTTGCATGAAACAAAATGAAGAATGAAGGTAAATGGCTGTAACATTTAGCCAGACTGTTTCAGATATCCATTATGACCTCACTCCAATGAAATGCTTTTTTTTTTTTTTTTTAAATAGAAAAGTAACTGTTCAAACAGTGAACAAAACACCCAGGTGCAATCATCAACTGACCACCCAACAACTGTCTTTGAGAGAGAAACTGCTGTAAAGTTCCAGAGCTCTGACCCAGAACAGATCCACCAGAGTCTGATGGCTGCTATCCGCTCTGGAGAAGCTGCTGCCAAATTAAAACGGGTGAGTTTTCATCATCACAAGAGCAACAGTGGATTCACAGTGCTTATTTCAAAATGACCAAATTAATCCCTAAAAGCAATCTGTTCTGGGACTAAGCATGAAAAGGGAGTTTCGTGTGTGTGTGTGTGTGTGTGTGTGTGTGTGTGTGTGTGTGTGTGTGTGTGTGTGTGTTGGGTTATTTTTTGAGGGGGGAGGAGGCAGTTGTACAAAAGCAGATTTTAAAATGTATGTGCAGAAAGCTTGTGCTGTCGTTTTTTTTTTAAATTAGAGAATTTTTCAGAAATGTTAGATCAGAATTAATTAAGGCTCTGCTTCAGCAAAGCACACAAGTGTGTGCTTATGTTTGCACATGCCAGATCCCTACACTTCCTACTCCTCCCCCACTCAGTACTTTTGGAGACCACAAATCACCTGATCTGCGCTCCTTCCCCTCTCTCCCAGAGCTGCAATGCCACAAATCATCTGTTCTCAGCTGTTCAAGGGAGGGTGAGGAGTGGGGATAGAGCTCTGAAAGTGCTGTGAGAGGGGAAGGAGTAGGAAATTCAGGGCCCCAGTGTGTGAGAGGCAAGTGGAGAAGAGGGGCAGACAGGGAGTCCATGGGGCTTCAGGCATCCTGTGAGTCTCAGGTCCCACCACTGATTTACAAACTTAATTCTAGCTAGTGAAACTAAAAAGTAGACACTAATTTTAAGATATAAAGAGAATTATCTCATTTTTCATCCAGTGTTTCTATGGACAGTGATTCTGGAGAGCATTCAATATGCATCTTGCTGCAATAAGTGTTAGGAGGGGGCGTTCCTGCCACTAGGCAGGAGCGGCCCCCACTGGAGGCAGGGGCTGCCATGGACAGATGTTGTAGCTGGGTCTGGCCCATGGTTAAATATTCACATCCTTAGCTGAGATATTAAAGAGATACTTAATAAATGCTATCTAATAATTAGAAACTATGGAAATAACATAAAAGAAATCATTGATGTAAAGAATAAAAACACAAATGTTTTATGCTCAAATGACTGGAGATAAATGGCTTGCTTAAATGGTGTGTTTTTGCTAGTTACTATGAACAGTCTGACACCCCATAAGAATATTCTGTTTAAATTCTTTCTTTGCAAGCATACATGTACTAAAAACATGGTGTATCAGCTCATTCCATAGTTTCAGCCTATATTTTCTTCAATTAGATATTTGCAGATCTACCGTATTGTTAATTAGAATCCTTAGCTAACATCCAGGCTTGGTTTTATAGATCTTTGCCTTTGTATCTTTCTATTCTCAAGCCAAGTTTTTTGTCTTCTACCACCATGCTACATTATGACCTGTTCCTGCAAAACCCTGTCTCTTTTGAAGATCAAAAGGTTTGTTACCCACCTATCCAACTGCTCCAGAAAATCCCTAACCCTAAGCAATTACTTTATAGACATCTTTAATTCTTAAAACCATATTCAGGAGAATGAGGGTTCCTTCATTTTGGCGCCCGAACAGTCCACTGTCAGTGGAATCATGGAATCCGAGCACTGAAAGGAACCCTGATGGGTTGTCAGGTCCCGACTCCTGCATTCATGGCAGGACCAAGCACAATCCATTCTAGATCAGTGGTCACCTACTAGTAGATCGTGATCTACTGGTAGATCTTGGAACCTCTGACAGGTGATCCTGACTGGTCTGGCTAAGAGGCTGTCAAGTGCCAGCACTTGAGCTGCCCCTCCCTGTACTGCTACTCCTCTCCTGCCCTTTGCCTTGGAGCTGTCCCCTCAGGAGCCTTCTAGTGTTGTGCAAGGCAAAAGAGGGAGAGAAGGGTGCTGATCCCTCTTCCTCCCTGCATCCTATTTCCACAGAGCAGAGAGGGGGCACAACAGGATTTGGGATGGAGTTTTTGGCTGCTTTTGGGAGTGGTGCAGGGTCAGTGTAGAGGTGAGCCCGCCTTAGCCCCACTGCACCACCACTCAGGAGCCACCTGAGATGAACAGTGCCCACTTCCTGAAACCCTACCCCAGTAACGAACCCCCTCTTGCACTCAAACCCTTGCCCTACCCCCGAGCATCCCTGTATCCAAATGCCCTCCCAGAGCCTGCACTTAGAACCTCCTCTGGTACCCCAATGGCCTGCCAAGCTCAGCTCAGAGCCTGTCTCACATGCCAGATCCTTTAATCCAAGACCAGAGCCTGTACCTCAATCCTCTGCCCCAGCCTGATGAAAGTGAGGGAGGATGGGGGAGGGCCTCAGAGAAGGGGTACAAAGAAGAAGAGGGGAAAGGGTCTGAGGTAGATCTTGGATTGCACTTAAATTCAGAAAGTGATCTTGTGCTTAAAAAGGTTGGAGAACACTGATCTACACCATCCCTGACAGGTGTTTATCTAATCAGCTCTTAAAAGTCTAGATTCCATAGCCTCCCTTGACAGGCTATTCCAGTGTTTAACCACCATAATAGTTAGGAAGTTTTTCCTCATGTCCAGTCTATACCACCTTTGCTGCAATTTAAGCCCATTGCTTCTTGTCCTATCAGAGCTTAAGAAGAATATTTTTCTCCCTCCTCCATATAACAACCCTTTTAGGTACTTGAAATATCTCTCTCTCTCAACTGAAGTGCAGCGGTGGAATACTTATCTTTGAGTTTCCCACCTTTGCCGCACAGATTGAATATCCCTGCTTTCCCAGAATGGCCAAAAGTGGAAATTCAGCATGATCTGTGAGCCCAGTGTGCAGTTAGGATGGTGCTCATTTAGAAGCCGTGTTGCAGTGAACCAGGTGTCAGCCAGATACAAATCATTTTAAGGAAAGTGGCTGAAATGAATCCAATTTTGGATCTTCTGGAGTCTTGATGAAGATTGGATCTGACTGGTATATGTATAAGAAACATCCGTCTTTCTATTATGTAGGTTTTTGATTATTGTAATCTTTATCTATCTACACATAGTTACATTGTGATTTATATTGAAACTAGGTATATGAGTGGTTAACAGGCAAGACTTGCTCTTAACAGGTGTGGCTTACTGACTCCAATTAATAAGTGGCTGCTTCAACTGCAGCTCTGCAGGGAGAGGAAGGTGGCAGTGCTGCTGTGTCAGGCAGGGTTGCTCCAGCCAGCCAAAGCAGACTCTATCCACAGCTGGGGCAGCCCCCTCTACTCTCCTCCTATGTAATGGGTTAACCAGTTAAATAGGATGTTACACTTTAAAAAGTGGATAAAATATAAAAAATGATAGAATGTATTTGTAATTTTTGTCATAATACCTGATAACTTACTTGAAAAAATAAGACTGATAAGGTGTTCATCAGAATTCAAAAAACAAATCAAATGGAAAGCTGGAAAAAGGCTAGCAAGGAGCTCTGTTTTGATAAGTATTTTCCCTGGCCAATTGACACTCCCTGCCTGAGGAGTTGACAATCTAAAGGACAGAAAATTAGACCAGAATTCTTCAGAACTGTGTCTGAAAGTTTTTCTAAAAGAGCAGAATAGTGATATGGAACAACATTTTTATGGACTTTGTAGATGTTTGTTTTCAGGGAGAACTTCAAGACTGGAGTGTAGGAACCTAGACCCATACCTAAAGTGTTCTGAAGCATGGGGCCTGATGAGAATTTTGTGAAGTCTGCTTAAATGTAGGGACATTTGAAACATTAAATGTACAAAATATTAATCCCTGCATTGGTTTTAGGGGAATACATACAATGGGGGAGACATGGGGAGAGAGAATGAGGCATTGAGTTTATTTTTAGGCCTGTTGTGCTGATGAAGTCTGACAATGTTTTCATTAAAAGCTGAAAACTGAGAATAGGACATGCTGTAATCAATGGAAAAATAGAACACTTTTGTCAGCAGGGTATAAGTATCCAGATAGTGATCCAGGTTGGGCAGAGTATTTTAAGTGAATTAACTCATACCTTCCATTGACTGGTTTGGTGAGTGAAGATTAGGTGCTAGCTGGTCCTAGTGAATTGGGTAAAAGGTCTGTCTCAGGGGTCTGCAATCTACAGTGCGTACCTGTGCCACGTGAGCCAATTTTCATTGGCAGGCATGCAGGAGCTTAGTCCTGCTCCTGCTCTTCACAGCAGGGAGCTTGCACTGCTGCTTGAGCCTCACAGCTTGGGCAGGCAGGGAGTTCAGTTGATTGGCAGGGGTGGGGCATTGTCAAGCAGCTGCTAAATGGGGCTGCTCCATGCTTGAAAGGAAGTAGCAAGATAAGGAGGTGTTAATGATTTAGAATCACAAAAACTTAGAGACACAGATAGGTGCCTAATGGGAATTGCATTTATTTTCATTTGACTTTTAATGGGAGTTAGACATCTGGGGTTTTCTAGAGTGCAAAGCAGGTTAGGCACCCAAATACCTCTCAATATCTGGCACTAGATCTAAAAAACACAGCTGAAGGTTCTGATAGGATTGTCAATAAAAGTGTAACTCATGATTTTTTCTGTGCTTTCATAACGGGCTAAAATATATTTTCACAGAGGGAGAAAAACAAAGTATTAACTTATCAATTTGTTTTCATTTCATAGTGTGCCAAATGGACCCTTTTTATTTTTTCTCCCTTTTTCAAAATGTCCGATGTCTTTTCTGTTTCCCTTCACTCCCCAAAGAAGTTAGTGAATTTTTTTCCTTTACTAAAAGCCTCTCCAAAAACTGACTTACCTCGTTAGACTAACTTGGGTACCCCCCTGAAGCTTTTGAAGTTTGTTAGTGAAAAGGCATAACATTTTTTACCCAAGAGAAACCATTTTGACAATGTTGACAGTTAGGGATGAGAGAGTTTTGTTTTATAAAAGAGTGCTTTTCTGCTCCTCTTCTCCCCCCTCCTCCCCCCCAAAAAAAGTTAAGTTTCAACCAGCTCAGTGTTGCTCAGACACTGAGAAGCTTTAGAGGAGTAGCCGAGGTAGTCTGTAACTGGAAAAACTTAAACAACAAGTAGTCTAGCAGCACCTTGGACAAGATGCTATTGTGAGTTTTCGTGGGCCAACATGTTTTGTGAGTCTTTAAGATGCTGCTCGCCTATTTGTTGCTTAAGTTTTTCAATTACAGACCAACTCGGCTACCCCTCTAAAGCTTCTGAGTGTCTCAGGAGTACAGGATCTTTCGAAAAGGGGGTTGTTGGGTTTGTTTGTTTTTTTCCAAAAGAACTGTGTCTAGACAGCGGTTTCACTTTCGAAACACCCTTTTTCGAAAGAACGCATGGATGCCATTATTCAAATGAAGCATGGGAAATTCAAATACCTGCTTCATTTGCAATTTTGATCTAATTTACATCCCTCTTTAAAAAGAGGGATGTAGTTTAGACATAGCCTCAGGTGCCTCTTCAGCTCCCCTTAGTGCTACCAAGAGGTGTGTGTGCTCCCCACCTTACAGCAATGAGTTTTTAACTGCAGTGCAGACCTATTCTCAGTGCACTAGCTCAGCTAAAGGTGGTGTGGGGGTCTCTTTGAGCTGTAAATTACATTTCCAGCTGCAGTGTAGATGTACCTTTGGGTAGTCTGTGGTGGAGCCAAGAATTAAGCCCATGTATCCCAAACTAAGAAAGAAAAAGATTCTTTTAACAGGATTATTTGAAGTGTTGTAGGTATCTAAAACTCTGATCTTAATGGTTTTTTAAAATCTTGAACTAAAAAGGTAAGATCTGCATCTTTATTTATTAATGAAGCTGCTGTAAGTAAGACTATTATTGACTTTTAAAAGTATCAATGGCATGCAGACCCGTAAATATAGTTAATAAGTTAAATCTCGGCATGCCACTTAAGAAAGTATGCTGACCATGGTCTATCAGGTGCTTGTATTCCCCCTTCCCTGATGCCGCTCAGTAAGGGGAACACACAAGAACCCAGACAAAAATGCTGCCATCGGTAGCCAAGTCTCTTTTTCTTTATTTCTTTTTTTCTTTCCTTAATAACTTGCCAGAGTGCAGAGCCAAGATCTGTGGCCTTTTGTGTTGTGGAACTTTACTGTTGAATGGGGCCTTCAGTAATTACTAACCTAAAAGGGTCAAATGAGGTCGTTTTTAACAATTTTTCTTTCTTCAGAATATTTTCATCGTGTTGGTAAATTCTGTTCAGGAACTTTACAGTGGTATTTAATCTTAGGGCCTGATTTTCAGGATCACAGCATCCACTGCTCCTGCTGACTTGAGTTGGAGTTGGCAATGTATTCAGCACTGCTGGGGGCAAAAAAGGCCATGTCTTAAATCAACAGAAGATTCAGGGGATAGCGGAGTTATTCTGTACAGATAAACGTAAACAACAAATGGTCTGGTAGCACTTTACAGACTAACAAAACATGTAGATGGTGGTATCAGCTTTCGTGGGCACAGCCCACTTCTTCAGATGACCAGAGTTTTGAGTTTAGGATGTGGCTCTGCATATTCTAAACTCAAAACTCTGGTCATCGGAAGAAGTGGGCTGTGCCCACGAAAGCTCATGATACATGTTTTGTTAGTCTGTAAAGTGCTACCAGACCATTTGTTTTTAAATTTAAATCAACAGGTTTATCACCAAGTAAAACTTTAGCATTTAGTGTAAAATTCATTGCAGTATCATGGAACACATTGAAATCCATTCTAATGTGTACCTTACTAAAAGAAGATTGCTTCCCCATTTTTCTTTGAGGTGACAGCAGAGCTCCAGACACGTTCAATAATTGTATTAAGTGTGCAGTTTGTGATGAGTTGATTCACCTTTAATGCTGACCAAAGCCTACATGCTACAGAAGCAATAAATATCTGATTTTCAAAATAGCACGGAAACAAAAACTTTATTGAACTACAAAAAATATACTGCTTTTAAAGCTAGAATGGAATAAAATACTACAGGGGAAATGATTTAAAATTGGGTAAATATTTCTCTTTTCTCCTAGGTTGCTGCTCCATCATATACTGTATCTATCAATGGACGATCCAGGCTCACTCACTCATTTTCCACAGAAGAAAAATATAACCATTAGACATTATACCAAGTAGTTTGCACTTTATTACCATTGCCTAAGCCAACTTAACACTAACTGCAAATTTTTGCCAATGTCAATTATACATTCTCAACTAAAATACAGGAATTTCATGTGGATCTCTTAATTCTTGGGGAAGGTTTATTAGAATATGTAATTTATAGTTATATTGTTGCCTTTTTTGTACAAGCTGAAAATGCTGCTTAACTTCAAGAAATGGTGTAAATGAGTTTCATTTTTGTTTAAATGAAAATCAAATATTGATTTCATTTTGTACTGTTAGGACTCAGTACATGTAGCAACATACTGAAGATTACCAATGATTTAGAGGAATCTGACAATTTCAGATTCTTAAGTTTGTAATTGTAAAATACTTTGGTTAACAAATTACGAGTTTAAATATACATCTGCCACTTGTAGCCTTAATGTTACCTTGTTAAACTAAATACTGTAATTAACCGAAAATCTTACAATTATATTCAATGAAGCACAAATTAGAATCTCATAGAATATAGGTGTGTTTCCTTTCTTCAGCTATGCATTGGAATCAATATCATTTGGCTTTTAATCTACATAACTTTTTTTTCCTAATAGCACAATAAAGCATCAGGACCAAAATGATCAGAAGTTTCTATACTATTATTAATATTTTCTTAACACTAATACTATTTACTTTCTCATTCTGTTCTATAACAAGTAATTTTTGAGAATCGCTTTTTTCTCTTAATATTCTGATAAGCAGTAAGTACCAGTTACCTTTTTAAATATTGTCATCGACGTGTAGAAACAATGTTAGGAAAAAATGAAATTCCAGTTTTGAAATTTAGTGAAAGATTAAAGAAATATGCTCACATGACTTATAACTAAAAGATCCTAAAATGCTTTGGAATTATTAATGTAGACAGTTTATTGTACTCTTAAATCATCACAGTAATAGGTGGGGGAAGCACATTTTACTAAAGTCTATAGAATACGTATTTTGCTACTGAAATATAAAAACTTGAACACTCTATGAAAAGAGAATGCCTAAAGAAAAAGAAGAAAAATGCATAGTGTTTTATCAGTTTCTTTCCTGCCAAGATAATTTGTAGGAGAAAATATGTTCATTTCTGATCATAGTGTCTAAAAACTGGATTGTAGATATTTTCTAAAATATTTCATATTGGGTTTTCATTGAGAGTTAATTGTTTCTTGGTTTTAGTCTTTAACAATGTTTTGTGCTATATAAACCGTTTGTAACATTCAATGGTATTTTAATTGCACAAATTGCTCTGTAGTTCTTCATTTAAGAAAAGGTTTATTTTGAAGAATGGCATAATGCCAATATTTTTGTGCAATAAACAGATCAGTGTATATAACATTCACTAGTTGGGAGCGGTCACATGCATAACTATATTAAAGTTGTAACCGATTAAAAACCTTCTAAGAATGTCCTACTAAACAATAATTCTTAAATACTAGAGCAATGAATACGTATTCACACAATGCTGTTCTCATTCATTCTGTTTTTACCCTTAAATCCAGTGTTTAAATATATCACCTCTTTTTTTTTCTTAAAAACAAATCCCAAAATTTGATTGGGAAATGAAACAATCTGTCTCTGTTGGGGGGGAAGGGGGCTCCCCCCAATTGTTGCTTGAAAAATGGTTTTCATAGGTCACTGGAAAAAATTGTTACCCTGTTGTACATGCCACCATCTTTTATCTTTCATGCTTCACTTTTCTAGATGTCACTGTGTCTTTAGGGATATATTTAGACAATGTAACCAGCCATTGCTGGTTTTGTGAATAAAACCCACAGTTGTCCTAGTGACCCTCAGCTTTAGTGTGCCATGTTCTGATTTATAATACACTGATTTCACTATTAAAGGAGTCCCCTTCGAACTGCACATGAATAACATTTCAGTTTTCTATCAAGTAATAGTTTACTGCTAAAATATTAAGTAAAGCCACCTCACATGATTGAATTCAATTTCCTCACATGGTGACTTGAAACTATCTGACCTTTTGCAAGTTGGTACCTGTGGAGCCTAATTCTTTTGAATCAGGAGGAAAAGATCAAGTTATGTTCTTCATTTGCTGACTTTACCCTTGGCTTTTACTGCTCCACTCCTGTATAACCCCCTATATTCATGTATGCAGATTGTACCTTAACATCGTCTATGCAAGCCAAATTGGGCTTGCCCAGTTATATAGGCATATATGGCAGAATGGCCGCAAGTTAAAAGGACACCGTGACTGGGAATGTGAACTCTAGAAGGCAAGTATATTGGCTCTTGACTGTTCTAGCACAATTCTAGACATCTGGGCTGTGTCCTTCCTCTGTGCACCTTGTGGAAACAGATGAAGTCTTTGTGCCATGTGCTCTGACCATACCCCCTTTTCTGCTGCTCACCATTGCATTCTCTGCCTCAGTAGCAGTGTGTGGACAAAGGCCTCTGTTGCTCCCACATATTTCCTGCTTTTCAGGAGAGTTTCTCTTTGGCTATTTTTGGATCAGTGTTTTCCCTTTCCAGCCTCTTCCTCCTTGCTTGGTCAGTTTTCATCAAGGTGGCTTAACCTACCCTGAGCCTCTGCATCAGTGCATCCCAGCTGGCTCTTCTGCAGTTCCCTCTCCTGGCAGAAAAGCCTAAAAAGCACCAACCCTATTTTATAAAGTGCTCCACCTGTGGGACAGCTTTCCCAGGCTTGTCAGATGGTGAGTTGTGCCCAACTCCGCTTTTCTCCCTAACTCTATTAGGTCCCGGGTCTATGGGACACCTGCACTCACTAGAGCAACTCCAACATGAAAGAGAGAGAGAGAGAGAGAGAGCAGAAGTCTCTGAGTACAGCATGAATAGGCTCTTAAGTTGAGTACACCATCCAGCTGAATTGGCTGCTAAGTCCCAAAGGACCCCTAGAGCTCAGAGAGGCTTTCAGGGTCAGAAATTCCCCTCCTCACAATCTTCAAGTGGGTCCAAAGAGCCCTGGGGAAAGTCTCATCAAGAGCCCTTTCCAGTTTGGCCAGGACAGGAGCTGCACAGAGGGCATCATGAGAGTAGCAGTTGAGAGGCAGGGTTGATGAGGTCAGAAGAATGGTAAATTTGTGGGAGAACACACCCTGAGTTATAGGTTGTTTCAGGATACTGGTTGAATCACTAGTTAACTTTTCAAGCTCCCAGCACAAGTTACTGACTCTGCCAAGCAGATGTTATCCTATGAGCTACTAACCCATTAGGCCAAGAGGCCTACCGGCTGTCGGACAAAGACGTGGTTCAGTTTCAGTATGAACAGAGCCATAGTAAATGTAAGAACATAGAGGGTGAGATAGGCCAGTGCATCTTTGGCTAGAGGCAAGTGATTACAAACCCCAATGTGGTACCTTATCTTCTTAGTTGATAGGACTGAGTTTTTTTTATGCTATTTACTCATTAATATTCTCAGACGTGGTATTTGGTGGAGGGTTCTTTTGGCCCTTATGTTGGTAGCTCCAAGCTAAATGTGAACCAACAGTAAAGAAGAATTCAGTTGAAGGGGAAGGGGACTGACCATATTACCTGGCCACAGAACATTTGTCACATAGTGCAGATATATTTTTTTACTGTGGGCACCCTCTTCCCACATTATCTTCCCATGGAGATACTCATGGGTGGTCCATGCTAGCTGACTTGGCTTTGCATGGCTGTTGAATTGCAGTGTAGGCATTTTATGAACTCTGCATGAGCACTGGAACCTTCCTACCTTGCAGGTGCCAGCCCCAAGTTTTGAATTGCAGCATAGACATACTCTGTAGCTTTTAGAAATCTAAAGCAAAATTTTTTTTTAACCCTATAGGCTTTTAGAATAGAATATTTTAGAATCTGTCTTGTAATAGTTCTTTAAAATTTCTTCTGCTTTGTCTCTAAGGCCTATGTGTGTGTGTGATGCTGGATGCCTGAGATACTCATATTGGACTATATCTATGTACTTCTCTTCATATATTTGACTCATTCAGTATATCAAGAGAGTAGTTTTCTCCATTTCCTTCAAGACACTTTCTCTCTTAACTATTTCTATAATCATTTAGGTAATTAAAGGTGCTTCCTAGTTCCTGTACATTTTAATGAAGGCCGAATTTCCTTGGTGCCTGGCTTTTTTGCTTACATTTGTTTTGGTAATCTGCTCTGTTCCCCAGGATCTATTTCCTGCTAGGTCACACCAGGGCTGGCTGTATTTATGGATTGGTGATGTTTCTCATACCACACTGAGCTTTCAGATTAAAAAGTTCTGACTGATCAATATTTAGATCACCTAGCAACTGAACTGGAATATAAGGGTTGTTCAGAAGGGACCAGTCTAAAAAAGTGTATGAACTTAAAGAAAATATAATTGGTTTGATGGTGTAATCAAGACTTGAATTGCTTAAAGTGTTCAGCTCAATAGCCAGGGGAGCTGCAATCTTGCATGGAACATGAGAAAAATACATTGAAAACCAGCTGGGACTACTTGAAGCAGGATTGAGCTAAGACTGCCTATGTTGTATAACAACTGAGGCTGGATTACATACTTCGTTTTTCAAAGTGTTCCCTGCATGGCCACCATTTTTAATCCATTTTACAAAGGCTAGATACAAGAGAAGAAAGTGAAATGAAATCTTTTCCTTCTAGGACATGTGGTCTCTGTGGATGTTCTTGGATGATAGGTTTCTTTCCCATTTCTTTGTCACTTATGGTACAAACTGGGGAAAATCAAGCCTGAAGGTATGAATTTGAGGAATTTAGTTTTACTACTTCCCTGCTTAGGGGCACCCTTCACCTGAAATTTTGTCTTGTGCTCTTATTTTCACTCTTACAAAGAAATTACGGGAGGAAATGCCACTTCACTTTCTGTTCTTTACTCTTTGTCTGCTTTGAGATCTAAAGGATCTTTAGAGCACTGAATTAGTGGAAGTACTTAAGCTTAAATTTATGTACCTATGTAATGCTTTGCTGGAGTGGAATATAAGCCATTAATTCAGGAACTGAAAGTTGCCATCTGATTTGTTATCCCTATGTCCCTAAACATCACACCGTTAAACTACTCCCCAACGCTCTTTGGGTAGGGATCATCTTTCTATTGCATGTTTGTACAACATCTAGCAAAAGGGGAATCGCAGTCCAGGACTAGAGTTCCTAGACATAGGTGCTATGAACTAAGACCAGCTTCTCCTTCAGGTTGCACTGGCTACTAGGGTCTTAAACAACACAACCCAACATTTGTGGGGGAGGAGGAAGTTTCCTTCATTTGTGAACTCAACATTTGTAAGGGAACAGTGATAGGAAGGAGAGAAGAGACTAAAATATTTTAAAATTTGAACTGCCAGTTGATGACAGCTATTCTGGTGTGACCAAAGTTTTGGGTCTTTAATTGTAATTAGGACCTTTTCAACCCTGGGAGGCATAACTCCATAGATGATAAAGGAGTTCTTGACCCAAATCTCTTACTTTGTGCTCAGAACGTCTGAGATTATTAGAATTGTGTTGTGGTAGTGACACAGGACAACTGCCAATATGACTTTGTAGGTATGGCCTGACCAGTGCCATTTATTGTTAATCTGATTACATAAATGACTGTCGTGCAGTTTTAGTAACTGTTCTGTCAATATTCATCACATGAAACGGAGGTTAACTTGTCTCTCAATCAACAAATAGTATTCACTCATGTAAAGTAAAGTAGTGACAACCTAAGACCAGAAATGTTTCTTCTCTTGTGGGAATGAGTGTCATTTCTCTTTGTTCATGTGTATTAATAGCAAGTCCAGTAATTCTCTTGTGGGAATGAGTGTCATTTCATGTGTATTAATAGCAAGTCCAGTATCTCACTTACAATTATGTTCCCTCTGATCTTGGTATACTTCTAAACTATTACAACCAAAATAACTGAGCTCAACCAAAGAAATCAACTCCATGAAAAATCACTTACCACCTCTAATCATTAGAGAAGAAGGATGATCAAGGTTTCAAAAGTGAGCTTCATTTGGGTTCCTGAAATCTTAGGCATCAAGTGTCTTCATTTGGGTTCCTGAAATCTTAGGCACCTTAGCAAATGGCCTCATTCTCAAGTGCACCTAACTGGGTCCTATTAGTGTTAATGGCAGCTGCAGGCACAGCATTTCTGACAATCCGTCCATATTCAGCACTCAAATATAAGACCAAAGTGGCAGATTTTTAAAAGGTCTTTTAGGTGCCTAAAGTACCTAGTAGGTTTTTCAAAAACCTCTAATCTAACTACTTCTGATTCAAGAGGACTAAAGAATCAAATCTGTGTGCCTAGCTGCATCTTCGGGCATCTAAATATCTTTGAAAATCTGTCCCTGTGTACCTAATACAGTGGTCCTCAACCTTTTGGGGCTGTAAGGTGCCCTGGGGGGCGGAGCTGCACACACTCCTGGGGGAAGGGCCACCCATACACTGCACTCCCAGGGCTAGCACCGCTCCTGTGCCGTGCGCCTGGGGGCAGGGCTGGCCCCGATCACTCGGCGGGCGCCCAGAAGTGGCCTGACAGGCACCATATTGGGGACGGCTGATCTAATATATGGAGATATACCTATCTCATAGAGCTAGAAGGGACCTTTAGAGGTCATCAAGTCCAGTCCTCTGCCTTCATGGCAGCACCAAGTACCATCCCTGACTGATTTGCCCCACATCCCTAAATGGTCCCCTTAAGGATTGAACTCACAACCCTAGGTTTAAGCAGGCCAATGCTCAAACCACTGAGCGATCCCTCCCCGGTCTAGATCTGTATCTTATCATCTGTTCCCTTTACCCATAAGCTGGCGTCTTCTACCCATTCACCCATATTTCAGCTGCATAGCTATGATAA